TTATAAATTTATGGGTGTGTTTAGAACTCATTCCAAAATGATTTTATTGAAAACGTTTTCAATCTCAAACAAAAATTACTTTTGAAAATGTGTTTAGTAGTTTTATCAAGATATTATTTTCAGTGTAAAAAAACTCATTAATGTCTCTCTTTCTCTCTCTCTCTGCTCGAGAGAGGAGGAAACGAAAATAAAAAATGAAAAATGATTAAAAATCATTTTTCATTTCTCTTTCATTTTACACTAAACTAAAAAATCATTTTCATCTCTTTTTTTTTTGTCTTTATTGCGCCAAACGCCGTTTTAAAAACGTTTTCATTTTTTTTTCAAAAAATGTGAAAAAAGAAACTGGAATTAATTCCAAACACGGCCTATAGTTCTTCAAATTTTCATCTTTTCTTCTACATGCTCCCTAATAAGTTCAAATACTTTTCTCTTGTTTCCACCAATAAAAGAGGGTAGGCCCGAGTAGACGTCAAAAGTTTGATTCAACGGCATCCCCGAGAAGTTGAATACGCACCGTATAGTTAATTTAACAGGAGACGGATGGGAACATACATGTAGTTAAGATTGTATATGCGTTCATTTCACCGATTCGAGTTTTTAGTCTTAAGTTTTTACAATTAAAAATTTTCAAAAAATGTCACATCTAACTTTTTCTACTACAGTTAAAAACTCTCAGAAAATGTCACATCTCAGCTCGAATTGAAAACTCAAATTCGTGAAGCGAACGAAGCCGTAGTCTTTATGCGATGATTACCATACATATAGATTGAAGTTTCTTTTTATGTAATGGTCCAAAATTCAAATTCAACGAGAGAAAAATATAATATTTTATCATCTCATTATTTATGCCATTAAAAAATATTTTAGTGGAATAAGAAAAATATCCTGTCAAAAAATTATTCTAAAAGAATATGAAAGATGTACTAACTACTAGATTATTAATCGCATAAATGAAAATTTTAAAATTAATGACAGAAATAAAATAGTGTTTTCTTTTTTATGGCATCCTTAAAAAATTTTATAAAATCAGCTTGAAAAGGGGAAAGGGCCTTGTTTTTATGTTATGGTTGCTTCTTAAATTAGTTTTCCACATGCAAATTAGGATTTTGCTGAATTTATCCTAATATAAAGAGTTAGCTTCCTCAAGAGTATTATGAAATAATATATACTTTGACTCTTAAACTTTTAATTTTAGTAAATTGCGCAATGAAATTTTTTTTCAACCATTTTAATCCCCAAGACAATAAAATCAACAAAGGATTAAGAAATTTAACATACGTAATCATTCAATCATCACGTCGTAACCTCAAATTTTATATAAATAATTATGTTATTTGCAAAAATTGTATCCTCCATAAAACTAGAACATTTTATACTTGTTGTAACTATATTTATGTAAAATTTTCAATTATTATATTATATGGGTATGATTATCTAAGTTATAGTTTAGAAATTATTTGTCAATTTCAATAGTCAGGACTAAACCTGCCAAAAGACGAAAATTCAAGGAGCAATCTAATAAAGTTAAAAATTCAAAAACTAAAATATCATAATACTTGTGGTTCACGTATTGACAATGTCAATAACCCTAAGACAAAATGTTGCTATAAAATTATACAAAAAATTACTAGGAGAGATGTTACTAAATTTTGCAGTTACCCAATTTAAATCATTTAACGTAGTGTTTGTTCTCACAAAAATTTTAAAAATTTAGGACTTGTTCTTTTGCAAGTATTTTTGAGTTAAGTTTTTGAGTTGAATTTGAGTTGAATTTGAGTTATAACTTGAGTTTAAGTTGTAACTTGAGTTTGCGTTTGGTTGTGTATACTTGAGTTATGGTTTGAGTTAAGAATTTTTTGAGTTTGTGTTTGTTTGTGATAAAACTTGAGTTGTGAATA